GCTCCCGCCTACACGCCCGACGGCCGCCGCTCCCGCCCGCACGCACGATGGAAGCGGAATATAATCCACCGGGACCGGCAACAGCACGCCGCCTTCCGGGACCTCGTCCGGTCCTCCCCCAGCCTGGTAAGACATCCCCCGAAAATAAGACCTAGTGTCTTATTTCGTGCAAAAAAAAAAATAAGACACTGTCTTATTTTCGGGGAAACACGGTACATTAGACTGTCAAATCGGGTACGCTCATGGCGGTTAGGGTCATCTTAAGTCTAAAATAGATATTTAGTTAAATAGACACAGTACAAACATTCTATTTTCTTAGGCGCTCCTTGACTTTGTGTCCACCCCACACACCAGACCTCCTGCCCCTGTCCCCCCCACCACCCGGTTACTTACTTTCACATTATGCAGTAAAGGAGGCCCAGTAGTCAGTAATTTTATATGCATACATTAACCATGCTAGCAGAATTCTCTTAACCATGGTAGTGCCATAAATAAATAATTTTACATATATTACTTTGAAATATAAAAGATGCTAAGGATACTAAACAAAGACTTAAAGTAGGGATGCACTGGTGCCGGTTTTTCGGTTATGAGTATGTGTATTATTTTTTTTTCGGTACACGCCAATAACGATACCGGAATTATAAGGTACCGTGGGCCCGGCTTAGCAGGAAACCGGTCAGCGGGTTGTGATCTGCCCGGCATCCTGATTGGTCAGGAAGTCAGGCTGCCTAGCAACAAGTGAAGCCGGCTTCCCAGGCAATCAGGAAACTGGGATGTGGGTCATGAGGCTCCGCCCAGCTTCCTGATTGGTCAGCCGATGTGTAGAGAGGAGACGCAGGGAGGAAAATGGAGAGACGCTGTCATCCTTTCAGTTTCAGAACATTGAGGATCGGTAAATATCTGTGATATTTACTGATCCTCTGTGTGCAGAGCAAACACTGGAGTGATTAGTTGATCACGCCAGTGTTTGTAAACAACTGGGGACACAGTACTATGTGTCCATCAGATATAAATGAACAGGAAGTGGTTTACATCACTTCCTGTTCATTCATGAGAAGCACTCGCTATAGGCTTCTACCCATTCAGAAACTGGTTGATAGTAATATTTTACCATCACCAGTTTCTGAATGAATGGGAATGCGTTCCATTCATTCAGAACAGATGCTGCAGAAAAAGAGATAGAGGACTCTGTGTCCTCAATTCTCAATTTCTTTTTTTATTTAAAAAAAGAATGACCCTTGATATTTCCCTGAAGCCCCCCGCGCAGTAAAAAAATAAAATACATTTAATAAATAAAAAATTATAATAAAAAAATAAAACGCAACCCACCTACTCCCCCCACACACACTCCGATAAAATACGTGCAACGATGTGCACCATATTGTGGTGTAGGCCATGAGCTTTGGTGCGTTGTTAGAACGCATCACAGTGCTTCATTTTTTTACCTGCTTTTTCTTTTTAACCCCTTCATGACTGAGGCCTTTTTTTCATTTTTTGTACCCATGTTATATTCCACAACATTAATTTAACTGTGGCAGCGAATGGCAAAGCGCTGATGCATTGTCGTGAGTCGTGATATGCTGTGTTGCGATTAAATGTACGCAGTATAATTTTATCACAACACACACACCAGCACAACGTACAAATGATATTTAACATAAGTCGCTTATTTACAGTTTTGCTTTACTTGATTTTTTTTACTGTTTTCACAAAAAAGCCTTTTAAAATGTACAAATATTTGTTATTTATTAAAGGAGAACTATGAGGTGAGTGATGAGTGATTTCCACTCACCTCATAGTTCTAAGCCGACCTGTGACAATGAGACTGTCACAGGTCGGCTCAGTAGATCGGGAGGTGAGCGAACACATACCGGGTTCGCTCACCTCTCGATCCTGTCACAGCTCTCTGCCGTGACAGGGGGAGGGGCTGGATTCCCCTCTCCCCGCTCCGATCTGCCAGCGCTGACTGGCGGAACGGACGGGGGAGGGGGCGGGTACAGCTGGCTCTGCCTCTAGATAGGCAGAGCCAGCTGTCACTTACGCAGCTGGGCGGATCCCGTCATCTTAAGTCGGGATCCGCTCCAGGTGCGGCGTCTCAGTATACCGCGAGCTGTAGCGCGCGGTATACTGAGCTTAGGGTAACGGAAGGACGCTAGTTTGTATCCTCCCGTTACCCCGAGGAGAACTATGGGGAAAAACACTGACCCCATAGTTCTCCTTTAACTCCGTTTTATCTTAGATTTAGTCAAAGTATTTTTTTCTTTTTTGTGCACTGATTTACTGATTTAAACATATATTCAGGTACCTTATCTATTAACAAAAATGTTACTTATTTGTGTACCACTCAGCTGTAGATCCTCAAATCATCTCTGAATTGATGC